TTCCGGTGCCCCCCGTGTCCCCTGCACCTTCCCTACGGCTCCGGTTTCCCGGTGTTTTGCAGTGTTTCCGCATCCCCGGTGGCCCCTGAGCCCCCCGCTGCGGCCCGGGGGCTCAGCACTGTGTCACCTGGAGAAGCCCCCCCACCTCTCACCCGCGGGGTGCCCTAGCGCTTGCAGCAACAAACTTCCCAGGGTCACGGCTCGTGGAGACCCTCCAGCCCCCTCAGGTTCCGGGGATCTGGGGTGGGGTAAATGCGAGGCTGCGGCACCCTCCAGGCACATGCACACACAAACACACACACACACACACAGAGCAAACTGCACCCCCAGAATCTGAGCACAGCCTGCAGCCCCCCACTCACATGGGGCACGTGGGGGGCATGGGCACCCCCACGGGCAACCCCCACACACGCAGCCCGCCTGTAATCCCCCACATGCGCGCACTCACAGAGCACGCAAGCAGCCTGCAACACCCCCACACGTACACACACGCGACACAGTCTGCAAATTTGTGTGCACAGCCCCCTGTGCAGCCTGCAAACCCACGGACCTGCACACACACACACACACTAACACAGCCTGCAACACCCCCCCAGTGTGCAAACACACACACACACGCAGCACAAACACCCAGCACAGACACAGCCCGCAAACCTGCGTGCACACACATCCGCAGAGCCCGCAAACCCCAACACTCGCACACGCACAAAGCCTGCAAACAGGCTGCAAGCCCGCACATCGTGGGGGCACGCGCAGCTTGCAGCCCCACAAACTTATCACATGTGTGTGCACACACACCCCATGCAAACACAGCCTGCAGCCACCCGCAAACACACCTCTCGAGCAAACACAGCCTGCACGCCTGCACAGAGCTCACACACACAGCGCACCCGCTCCATCCTGCACACGCAGTGCCCCTGCACGGTGTCACCCATCTGCACACCCGCACAGATCACACACACAGTGACAGGCTGCTGCTTGCAACCTCTGCAGCCCCCAAACATCGCCACAACCTGGCACTAACCCTCTGCAGAGCACGCACATTGCGATAGACGCGCGCACACGCAGCATCCCATGTCTGACTGCGCCACGCTGGCATCGCCAGGCAGGGGCTGTCATCCCCCCCCCAAAGCAGGGGCACACGGCGGATGGTGGTGTGGTGGGTCCCCATCCCACGAGCCCTCAGGCAGCACCCCTGGCTCCTGCTGCCACACCAAGGGCAGTGGTGAGGTGGAACAGCCCTCTGCACTCCCTGTCTTGGTCTCTCCATAGGTCCTCAAGGCCAGCAGGGATGTGAGGAGGAGGTTGAGGGAAAAAGGCACAGCACACCCTCTGCCTGCAGACCCCAGAAACTCCCTCTGTCCATCCTGGAAGGCATTTGGGGCTGGGGATGCAGAGGGGTGCAAAGTGCAGCCCCAGGGACCGTCCCATTCCTTGTGCCTGGGCAGTAGGGACCATGGGCATCATGTCCCCAACCCTGTCCCTCTCTGCCCACACAGGTGGCCCAGGTCAGCAATCCCGGACAGCAGTGGATGAGCGCTGGGCACTGGCCTAGCCACACACACACACCGGCACCATGGACTTTGTCATGAAGCAAGCGCTGGGCGGTGAGTGGGTGCTGTTGCCCCTCAGAGTCCCCTCTCCAGGAGCGGTGCTGGCCTGACACCCTGGGATCACAGTGGGAGGGACATGGCTGGGGGACAGAGTCACACAGAGAGCCACCAGCAGTGGGGAGCTGCTGCTGAAGCCCTCTGGTGTTCCTGTTACCAGCACCGTCAGCAACTGGCTGGGGAATCCTGGCTCTCCTGCCGCTAAGTGGGATTCCCCAGCGGGTCCCCTGGGTGCTGAAGGAGCTGCCGGCATCTCCCCTGGCTGATGCTGAACTAGGGCAGCGCAGCCAGCCCATGGCACTCCCTATCCCCACAGCCTCCAGAGCCCATCTGCAGCTCACTTTGGCATGGGTGGCCCTGGGGATGTCCCAGGTCGTCCTTGTGGCGGGGGGGGGGTCCTTGCCCTGCCTGCCTCTGCAAGACTTCAGCAGCCAGTGCCAAGCTGCAGCACCCTTGGGGACCAGCCAGTGGTCTTGTGATGCCACAGGGGCCACCAAGGACATGGGAAAGATGCTAGGGGGAGAGGAGGAGAAGGACCCCGATGCGCAGAAGAAGGAGGAGGAGAGGCAGGAGGCTCTGCGCCAGCAGGAAGAAGAACGGAAAGCCAAGCACGCCCGCATGGAAGCCGAGCGGGAGAAAGTCCGGCAGCAGATCCGTGACAAGGTGGGCACATGCTTTTCCTGCACCCACCCCTGCTCCTGGCACCTGGGATAGGGCCGGGACAGGGAGCTGGCATGGCTGGGAGGAGGGTGGCCCAAGGCAGTGGTGATGGGCACGGGCATGGTGCAGGCAGTGCCCTGTGCCTGCCCTGCTGAGGGTCTGTGTCCTCTCAGTATGGGCTGAAGAAGAAGGAGGAGAAGGAAGCAGAGGAGAAGGCTGCCCTGGAGCAGCCGTGTGAGGGCAGCCTGACGCGCCCCAAGAAGGCAATCCCGGCAGGCTGTGGGGATGAGGAGGAGGAGGAGGAGGAGAGCATCCTGGACACCGTCCTCAAGTACCTGCCCGGCCCGCTGCAGGATATGTTCAAGAAGTAACAGCATCGTCAACCCTGCCATAGGGTGCTGGGGCATGGGCGCCCTCTCCCCTACGACCCCTCCATCAGTTCCCTTGGCCCCGGAGAGGGGGTCCCTACACCCCCTCCCATCCCCTCCTGCCCTGTCCCCTGACCCGCCCGTCCCCTCCAGGCAGGGCCCCCCCACCACGCCAAAGGGGAGCAGCCCTGGCCGGACAGGGTGAACCGGGACCAAATGCACTGATGTAACCTCGCGGCAGGCTGGGGGCACCCAGGCCCTACCGGCCCCCCCGGAGTGGCTCCTCGTGCCCTCTGCCCTGCCCCTTCTGCCCTCCCAGGGGACCCCAGCAGGCTTCTGCTCGCCTGCCCTCGTTCCCAACACTGCCATCCCCCTGCCCCGTCCCGCCCTGGGCCAAGCCCAAAGCACAAAGCCAGGCGCCCTGCCCGCAGCTCCCCCATCCCCGGTCGTCGGGCACGGGGGTCCCCCGGGGCTGCCTGGTGTGCCCCTGCATCGGGGGGTTGGAGGGGACCCCCCTCCCCGCATCTCTGGCCCCATAGTTAAAGCCATATCAGTTAGACTGCAATACTTCAGCACCGGGAGGAGCGGGCGCCACGCTCCACCAACCGTGTACAAAGGCACGTGCGGGGCAGGGACCCCCCTGCCCCGTCCCCCTGTCCCTGCCGCTCGCTCGTCTGTGTCTTGGCCCCGCTGGCCCCCGTCCTCGCATTAGTGTCTCTGTGCCAGGGTGCGCCCCGTCGCTCCATGCGTCCTCGTGTCCGCTGCTCAGACTCCCACCCCCGAGCCCCCACCGTCCCCGGGGGCCACCCGCGGCGCTGAGCCGAGAGCCCCCCCTGCCGCGCTGCCGGGACCCCCAGTCTGCCCCCTGCAATAAAGCCAGCGCGGGGCCGAGGGCTGCCGGGCCAGCCCAGGGCTGGGAGTGCCCGGCTGCCCCCCACCTGACGCTGGACACACGGGTCCCCGGGCCTGGGAAGGTATCCCTGGGCAAGCGCCCCGGGATGTCCCAGGAGCTGCTGCTTGTACCCCAACAAGGGGAGGCAAGGGCACACCCTCATCCCGGCCCAGCCCTTGCCGCACCGTGCTCCCCCCTACCCGTGCTTCCTCAGCCACGGCCCCCAGCTGCCCACGAGGGCCCTCAGGGGAGGCGGCAGGCAGCTTGGGGCCCCACAGACATGCTGTGACCATCCTGCTCGAACTAGTCTTTGACAAACTAATAAAATAAAGGGATTTGTACATTGCTCCAGCCTCTTCTCATCCATTGCTTCCCTGGGCCCCCATGTCAGCTCCCTCACCCCACTAACCCCAAAGCTGACATCAGGCAGCTCACCACACACAGTAAGGCCACAGGGCCCACCCAAGCCAGGGCACAGGTGTAGGGGGTGACCACAAGTGGCTCCCAGAGTCCTGTTCAGTCCTGCTGTCTCCCACTCTGCAAAGTGTCCTCTCTGGGGATGGGGACAAGACAAAAGGGATGGGTGCTGGTGGGCCCCTGTCCCACAGGCATGCCATGGAGGCTTCTGCCCCTTCCCCCTGACTCTGGGACTTCTTTCACTGAATGACGGAGGATACCCTGCGGTACAAGGACTGTTTCTGGTGGGTCATTGCCTTCTGTCCCCTAATAAAGAGGCATGAGGCTATGGGCATGGGGCACCTCATGTCCCCGCAGCGAGGCAAAGGCCCTGGCAGTGCCCTGGCTTGGCACAGCCCTGGAGGCCTCAGCCTGCAGCCAGCCCCAGCCATCATTTGCCATCATTTACCAGCAAAGAGCTCCACTGTTACCCAGGCGCCATCAGCAGAGCAGTCACCCGGAAAAGCTTCTGTCAGACAAAAATATGAGAGTAGAAAACGGTAGAGATCTCGCAGGCAAGGTCTCCATTGCAGGCAGACTATGCTTTGTGACAGTACAGAGGGGGACAAGTCCCCACAGCCCTCCCTGGGGAGCGGTGGAGGGGGAAGGCAGTGCCGGTCACCCCTGCAGGGGCACAGGGAAGGGCTGTGCCCGGGGCTGGTGGCCATGGCGTGGGACGAGCAGCGTGCTCCGCACATGGGGTGCTGCCAGGCAGGAACAGGTCCCTGTGGGTGTCCCCCCGCACCCACCGAGCAGTGTCCCCGCTGTCACCTGTCCCCAGTGTGGGGGCACAGCGCCCTCTGGTGTGACAGCGGAGGAGAGGCAGTGGGGACACAGGGGACAGTCCCTCAACAAACCCCTCAGCCAGGGCCTTGCCAGGGCCGAGGGAAGGAGGCAGAGGAAGGGAGAGCAGCTCAACAACCCAATTCTCCCCCCTGCAAGCAGCCACAGGCACCTTTGTTAAGGAAGAGGATTTATCAAAATTAGAAAAAGCAAGTATTAAAAAAACTCAGCCCCAGCTGGGGAATCGTCTCCCAACTCACATCCCTTCACCCTCCCCTCACTGCCTCAGCACAGGAAAGGGGCATGGGATGTCTGGGAAGAAAAGGGGCAGGCTGTGCTCCCAGGGCTGCCCTTGCCACCAGGCTGTTGGGACAAGGGGACATTCACATAGCTTATCCCTGCTGGGGAGACTGGTCAGAGTGGAGCTCTTCTCATGGAAGGCCCCTCAGCAGCCACCTTCAGTGACTGATTTTCTTTGGCCACTTGCCTTTGGAACAAGCTCCCCATTCCCCAGAGAGGAGGTGGTAGACAGGGGCCCCTGCCAGCACCCCCATCATCCCCAGCACACAGCTCTCTATTTACAAATGCTCCCAAGAGTAGGATGCACCAAACTGAGCCCGAGGTCACAGCCCTGCCAGGCTGCCCAGGAGGGGAGCCAACTCCTTGCCCTGCCTACATTAAGCTCCCAGTCCCAAGAGCAGGCAGGTGTTGCATCCCCAGGTGCAGCTTCATCAGGAGTCATTGGGGAGCCCGAAGAGCTTGACGGTGCCAGCCTCCCGGCTGCTGTCATATTTGCCATCTTTATCGTCACAGGCGAAGGCCAGCAGTGGCCTCTTCGGGTGCCAGGCCACTGTGAAGGTAGGGGACTCACACTGCACCTCCCAGAGCTTCTCTCCTGCATGGAAAAGGGGCCATGTCAGCCCGGAGAGCCTCCACCGCTCGCTGCCCCAGAGCCAAGCACCTGCTTCTCTCCAGCACAACTGCTGCTCCAGCGCCTTTTAATCACCCAGTGACAAAGCTCAGACATGACAAGCATGTCTGCCACTGACTAACGAGGCAAAGGCTCCCCCTCATGGCACTCTGCTCTGCACAGCAAAGCTCTTCCTTAGCAGATTCTCCCAGTGCCCTCCCAGCTCCACCAGCACTTCTCCATCTGATTCCCTCCCTGCTGTTCCCCAAGAAGAAACTGTTACCTGTCTCCACTTCGGCAATGTCAATGAAGTGATCTTCTGATGCTGACGCCAGCATCTTCCCATCATGGCTAAAGCTCAGTGTCCGCACAGGCCAGTCGAGCCTGCAGCAACCAAGGGGAGCAGACAGTCAGCCCACTCCACGTGGTCCCCAGAGAGGGGGCAAACAGCTTTGGAACAGCTCTACCTACCTGGAGAAGCACCTCACACATACCAGCTCATCCACATCCCAAAGGCTGACTAAGGCATCAGCACTGCCAGTGGCAAAATACTTCCCCATAGGATCAAACTTGATACAGATGCAGTTGGAAGGATGGGCATTGATGGACTGGATGGGTTTCAGCTCTGGGTAGCTGTGGAGGTGAAGGGAGAGGGCAGGGAGCAGTGAGAGAAGCACAGAGATTGTCTGAAGCAGGGCAGGCACAAGGCACACCAGGACTGGGAGCAAACCCAGCCAGGGTAGGAAACACCAAGTGTCCAGTGAATGAGGTGAAGCATCAGGGTCCCTCTCGGGGAGCCCAGCCCAGAACTGGGGCAACCTCAGCTCCAGGCAAGTCCATTCCCACCAGAGGGCTGGGGACCACTGAGGTGTGGGACTCCAGTTCCCCAAAACCAGCCAAGGCATTTGCAGCCTGACTGCAGCCAGCCCAGCCACCCAGCCCACCTGCAGCTGTGGACACCAACCTGAGGATGTTGATGCAGCCATTCCCGTTGGTGAGGAAGAACATGTTGTTGTCATTGTTCCAGGAGATCTCGTTCACCTCAAACTTGAACTGTTCCTCAGCCTTGGAGCGATGAGTCTTGGCATCAATGAAGGTGACCACGTCATCCTTGTTCCCCACGGCGATGGTCTGTCCATCGGGGCTCCAGCAGATGTTGATGTTCTCACCTGAATGGACAGAAAGGCAGCAGGTTCCATTTCCGCTCCAAACCATTCCCAGATAGGAAAGACTGCCAGGTCTGCAGTGTAATACACAAACCCTGCACGGCAGCTGTCCAGCAAATACAGAATTACTGAAAACCAAACTTATAAGAAGTACAGCTTCAAAACAGTAGGACCACAGCAATCATCACACAAGGTCAACCCAAAGATCCTCTGAATCCAGTGATCTTTGAGATCCAGAAAAAGCAGAAGCCAACAATAAATACCTTTAAACAACAAGGTAAAAACAAGGCAGGTTGCAGTCATGCCATTTCCAACCCCAACAACTCAAAATTTGATATTTCCAAGGGCAGAGGTGGTATCTGGATTAGGCAGCACATGAACTCAAATAGTTGTTTTTCTGAATCCACACAAACTTTTACTTCCATCATGGCTCTTAGTAAACATGCCTTTTCCCCAGTCTCCAGCCTCACAGCCCACAGACTCCAGAAACAAGTACACAAAACATTTTAACAACCAGCACCATATTTCAGGAGTTTCTCCAGTCCCTACTCTGCAGTAAATGAGCCCTTGTGCGATGAGTGCAACACAAACATAAAGCAGCCACCAAAGAGGCCCCAAGCAGAAATAGTCACAGAAAGGATCCAAAGCTCTGTGCCGCTGCAGGCGGGTCCCACAAAGCTGAGGTCCCGCCGGGACCCACCTGGGAAACCCCCTGGGAAGGCAGGGGCTCACCTTTGGTGTTGACAGTGGCGATGCACTTGGTGGTGCGGACGTCCCAGATGCGGATAGTTTTGTCCCCGGACGCTGTGACGAAGAGGTCAGGGTTGCTGGGGTGCCAGCAGAGCTGATCCACACTGTCCCCGTGGCCCCGGTAGTTGTTCTCCTTCACCTGCGGGGAGACGACAGCCGTCGTCATGAGGATGCGCCTGGCTCTGCTCCCCCCTCCTGCCTCACATCCCGGCACGCTGCATCCCCGTCGGGATGGGACGGGAACCCAGCCCGGAGCTACCCCGCCACCCCGGCCACGCTCCCGCCCACGGCCGGCCGGGATGGAGGAGACCCCCGCGCCTTCCCCGCCAGGTAGCAGCTTAATTCCCGCTCCAGCTTTATTGCCAGCTCTCTGCCACCGGCCGGCAGGGTCTCCTGGTGATGCTCCTGTTCCGATGCACACAGAGCACCCAGTACCGACCACCTGGACCCACTCCCTGGCTCGACACAGCTGCCTGAACACCCGGGCCCAGTGTGCCCAAGAGCTCCTGGTACCGACCCGCCCGGCACTGCCCGCCCGCTGCCGGCAGATCTCACCAGCCGGTCCTTCTCCAGCAGGAAGACGCTGGCGGTCTTGTCGAAGGAGCCGGAGGCGAGGCGGCGGCCGCAGCAGCTCCAGGCCACCGAGTGCACCTTGGCGCCGTGCGCGGGGAACTCGCGGCTCCGCGTGTTGGCGCGGAACAGCTCCTGCATGGCCTGCACGTACGGGGACACCGCCATGGCGGGGCCGGCTCCGCGCCCCGCCCCGGCACCGCGCCCGCCCGCACTTCCGTCGCCCCCCCGCGCCTGCCGGGGCTCCACGCCCGGGGCGGAGCCGCCACCCGCCGCCGGGATGGACGACACCGTGGTGCTCCTCAGCGACTCGGACTCGGAGGGCGCCCGCTCGCCGCCGCTGCCGCCGCCTCGGCCGCGCCGCCCCGGCCGCTCCCTGCCCGCCCCCGCCGTGAGTCCGGGGCCGCCGCTGCCCCGCTCGAAGATGGCGGCGCGCTCAGCGCGGGCGGGGACGGGAGCCGCGCGCAGACAAGAAGCCTCGGGGGCAGTGGAGGGGTGGGCGCGCAGCCCCGGCCGGGTGTTCCCGGGGATCCCCGGGATGTCCCAGCCTCTCCCCAGGCGGGCTCGGCTCCCCGCGGCCACCTGCGGCCGGCGGAGCCCCGCTCCTCAAGCGCGACCCCCTAGCGGTCCCAGCCTCCTCGGCCATGTCCCCCTCTCACCCCAGAAAACGCCGGTCCCCGCCATGGAGCATCATGTGCTCTCGCTGCACCCCGAGGAGGGTCCAGCCCTGTAGGGCGCAGCCCCGGCGGGACCTGGCTCATGGATGCGGTGGGGTGGCTGCCACGTCTCTCACCTGTCTTGCCCCCTCCTCAGGGCCGCCCCCTCCCCTGTCCCGTCCCCCTTCCCTGCGCTGCCACTGTCCCCTTTACCGCCAGAGGGTGCGGGGACGATGTCCCGGCGCGGCGGCGGTTCAGGGCTCGAGGCTCAGCCCCTCAGTGAACGGCCCGTCCCGCTCCACGCTCCGCTGTCCCGGTTCCTGAGGCAGCTGCGCCGACGGTTACCGTGACCGGCTGGGGCCCTGCGGCCTCCCGCCCTCCCCAGCTCCTCCAGCGTCCAGAAGCCCTCCTTGGGAAAGGCAACGGATCTGAGTCGGGGAAAGAAACGGACTTAAATTGTCCACTAACTGTATTCCCTGTTTTGAGACGCTGAGGGGCACTTTTTTTCCCCAAGAGTAAACAGGCTCTGACCCCTCCTGGGCACACCGAGATCTTGGGAAGTGGTGTGTCCTGCCTGCTGCCAGTCCTGCCTGCTCCTTTTGCCCCTTGGAACACCGAGTGCTGCACCACCCAGCAAGTCCTGGGTGGGAGTCCCCAAAGTCTGAGGGCTGCTGTAGCTCCAGATTGATGCCAAAGAGGAAGAGGCAGTTCCCTACCGCTCCTGTGTTCGTAGAGGGCAAGGTTGTGCCACAGAAGGGGTGCCAGGGTTTGAATCCTGTGCTGCTTCTGCCAGTGTCTGGGGACAGGGTATAGGAGCGCTCACGGTGCTTCCCTTGCCCTCCCTGGGCACCCCAGCAGGACCTGCGTTTCCCAGTCATGGGAGGGAGCTAAGCAGGCAGCCAGGACCACTCTGGCCCAAGGCAAGAGGTGTTTGGAGGAGAGGGCATGGCTGTTTGCAATAAGGAACCCTGGGGAAAGCAGGGAAGAAGAGCCTCAGTCAGAGCTGGGCTCAGGATCAGTGGTGCTGCCAGGGTGGGCTGACCCCACAGCTACCAGCCCCCACAGCCTGCCCCCATCCCCTCAGATGGGGTCAGTGCCCCTGGTTTCTCTTCCTGGGCTGGTGCCAGTGAGCCTCTTTTCCCTCTTGAGCGGGGGTACAGTGCCACTGTAGCAGAGGCTCCTGGCAGGGGAAGACACTGGCACTGCTCCTCTCTCCCCACAGGAGGTCATCGATCTGACCTGCGAGGACACAAGCACAGACCCGATGCTGTTGAGCGTACCTGAGGACATCTTCTTCATCAATGCGACTGAGGATGCCCACATCCTTCACTGCACCTGCAGTGCTGACCAGGACCCCAGGACTGTACCTGCTGCCCTAGCAGCACACACATCCTGTCCCCAGCTCTGCTTCACCACAAAGGAAGAAATGGAGGCAGAGCCAAGCCCTGCACCACCCTGGCACAGCACTCCCGTGAAGCCCAGTGCTACCACGGACATAGCAGAAAGCATGGAGAACAGGAGCTGCCACTCTCCTGCTTCCAGCTGCCACAGCTCCTGCAGCTCAGAGCAGGACTGCAGCGCTACCAGCTTTAACAGTGACCTGGGTTCCCTGACCAGCATGCAGCTGGACTCAGACCTGCTGTCCCTGTCCCCCCCCAGCCTGGACAGCAACAGCAGCTGGAAAGATGATGGCCCAGAGGAAAAACCTCCCCACCTCTGCCAGGAAAGAGACCTCCCCCCAAGGCTAAGCCCTGCCCCAACACTTTCCACAACCCCAGAGAAGGCCCAAGGGCCTTTGCTGGAAACAAATGACTTACTACCTCAAGAACCAACCCAGCAAGTGACCCCAGCCAGGAGTGATGCTGACAGCAAGGCCTGGCTGGACAAACTGCACAGTTTCAGGAGGAGTGGAGTCCAGCACCTCTTCCTCCAAGGCATAGCAACCAACCTGGAAACACAGCAGGTAAACAGGGTCTAGAGCAGCCACTGCCAAGCCCAGCTGGAGGCTGCTCAGAGCAGGCCCTGTGGTAGAGGAGGTAGCAAGGGCAGTCCCTGCTCCCTTTGCCTTTTGTGGGAAGCTTTGCCAGGCAGCTGGGGGCTCTGGTTATTGCAGTTCTCTTCACAGTGGACTCCACATCACAGCTGGTTTCCTCCATGCTGGGGGAGCTGGCTTTCACCTGTTGCCTTGCCTCCTACACAGCAGAAACCTGAGCTCATCCCCAGAGGGAAGCTGAGCATGGTGCGCACCACCATGGAGGAGAACTTCCTGGAGGGCACCTTGCATCTCCTGAATGAGTTCGTCTCCTGCCAGCACTGTCCCCCCAAAGATATCATCTCCCACCTGATCAGACAGGTCCTGTTGAATGCCCATGAAGAGGAGATCTTGAAGGACACCTACATGCTGCTGATGAAGATCCAAATGTAGGTGTTCCCCTTGTCCCGGGGCCCTGGGGCTGACTAGGTGCTCCCAGTGATCTGCCCAGCATACAGGTGTTCACTCATAGGAGTGATTTCCCATATAATCCAGGATGATCCTCTTGCTACCACCAGCACTCCCCAAGCTCTCTGTGGGTGGGTCAGGGGCAGCCCATGACACCAGAGAGCTCTCAGGGACGGAGGAGCATGTTTGCCTTGCCCTGAAGGGCAGATCTCATTCTTCACTGCTGTGACATGGCAGAAGTGCCTTCCCTGGGCTGCAGCAGTGCTGTGGGCTGTCAGTGCCTGGAGCAGCTCCCTCACTTCCCTCAGGGACTCCCACAGAGAGAAACAATGTTTTGTGAGGCCATAGGCCCAGGAGTCCTGGGCATCTCCATGGAGTACAGCCCCAGCCACGTGGTTTCGAAAAATTCATGTGGTCAGGAGAGGAGAAAGGCAGGCCAGGCCCCTGAGCAAGTGATGCTGGGGAGGGCTGGGGAAGGGCCAGGGGGCTGCCTTGCCTCCAGACAGATGGTCAGGCAGTTCAGCACAAATGGACAGCATTGTCCTTGCAGGCTCCATCCAGCCAACGCTGCCACAGTGGGATGGGACTGGACGCTGCTGAAATTCATCATGGAGGACCAGGTACTTGGCACTGTGTGTGTCACATTGGGCAGGGATCATCCAGGACACAGTGCCTGAGGGTAAGCATTGCCTAATGGCCTCATGTGGCTGTGCTCTGCTGCAGAGAACAGGCCAGTCCAATGTGCACCTTTATTGCAGCTGCTGAGGGCAGCAAGTGCCAGTTGGGTATCTCATATTTATCCTCAGTGCTCCCTGACCCACTGCACAGCTGCTGGCAAGTTGTCCCATTGCAGAAGGCACAACAACAGATAAAGCCTCTGTGGGTCACAGTGCTAGTGCAGTGGTAGAACAGGTCCCATAAGGGCATTGCCTGAGCCAGGCAACCCATCCTGGAGCTGTACATCAGCCCATTCCTGAGACAGCCAAATTCCTTGGTCCTCCTCACCCAGTGGCTCCCTCAGGCTCATACAATCTCCATGTGCCCTCAGGAGAAGCCCCCTGGCCGGCTCCTCTTCCTGCAGTACGTGGTGCAGACCCTGGAGGATGACTTGCAGAAGAATCTGAGGTTGCACCTGCTGCAGAAGTCCATTGCCAAGAAAGTGCTTTCATGTGATGTGTGCTTCAACAATGTCAAGTAAGGGACACCTCCTCCTCCTCCCTGTTCTCTAACCACAAACTGAGAGGCAGGGGCCCAGGGAACACTTGTCAAGACTCCAGGTCGGACTTTCAGACTTTACAAAAAGCAAACTTAGGAGACAGAGGGAAGTGCAGGGCCAAATATAAACGACAGACTTACAAAAGCAAACCACCAGAGAGGATGCAAAGCAATTGCAGCTGCAACCTAGCAGACTTTTCCCAAGAATGAGATTTGCATTGCTCAGGACAGGACTAAGGAAGCAGCAGTCCTGTGGACAAGTGTAGAAATCAAGAGAGCTCTTCTGTTGAGCTGCTCACTCTGAGTGAGTGGGACATACTCTTCATTCTCAGGGTCTTTCTTCAAGATCCAAGTGGATCTAGAGGTCAGAACACAGCAAAATCAGGCCCATCCCCACTAAAATTCCTGTTTCTGTCCTAGGGAAGTGGTCAAATGGTTGGTCGCAGCAATCACAGGAGTCGGGTTCTGTCAGCCCCAGGAGCAGCCGCAAGAAACTCCCTCCTCTTCAGCAGAAGCCAGGGCTGAACGCAGCTCATCTTCACCAAGTCCAGCCAGCACACAGGCTCCAGCAGCTTTCTTTGCCCAAAAGTAAGCCCCAGAAGTGCTAACTCCCTAATGGCATTATCATGGGCCCAAGTCAAGGAGAAGCCAGAGCCTCTCACTCCCTGTCAGGTCAGGGAAGCTAGGCTGTACCTGTGACCAGCTTTGCTGGTTCTCCTTTGGGTTAGATATAGACTTGGTGAGCAAAAGACTGCCACTGGCTCAGTATCATCCTCTTGCATGTCATGTAAGTCTGGAGCTCTTCAGTCACAGCTCAGGCTGCCCCATGCTGCTCCACCAACACTCACTACAGCCCAAGACCTCCCAAGGTTCAATCTGGGGATTTGCTCTGCTTGCAAAAGTATCTGATTCAAAAGCCACCAAGAGACACCAAATCTAGCCTGCATTCCCGTGTCCCTCACTGCAAAGCACGAGGCTGAACTAGGGGCCATCCCCAATGCTTTACTTGGCAAGCCAAGGAGCAGCTTCTCCCAGTGCTGACTGTCTCTCTGACACAGGGTGATGCTCCTGCTCCAGCGGATGTTGTCCATCGCAGTGGAAGTGGACAGATCTCCCACCTGCAGCTCCCGTAGGATTGCAAATGAGATATTCCCGTTTATTCTGAATATCCCGTTGAGGAGCCAAAGGTGAGACAAGCACATGCGAGGCAGCATTTGGCTGTGAGCAATGGTCTTATTCCCAACTTACATCCCAGTCTGGATGCACAAAGTACTAGAGGGTACAGAAAGACAGGCCAGCCAGCAAGAGCATGGCTATATCTCCCATGGAGATACATCACTAGCTGAACACATCTACCGCAGTGGTGTGCTGCTGAAAACAGTCAATTTTCTCACATGTTAAAGTTGTGTGACCTTAAAAACATGAAAAGGGTCTGAAAAGCAGCACTGTGCATCAGCACAGTCAAGTACTGGCAAACACATCACTGATTCTCCTGGGCAACCAGGTAGCTTGTCAGAAATATGATGCAGTTCCTACAGCTTTGCCTTGACATCCTTTTGTTTGCTTCTCTAAGAAATGCAGTATCTGAAGCCAAAGCACAAGGGCCTGACTGGTTCTGGTGTAAACACAAGACCACTGGACCCACAGGCATTTCAAACCCACACTTGCAATGCCCAGCAGGCAGCCCTTCACACCCCTTCAGCACAACCCTGCGCACACACCAGATCTAATCAAACCAAACTGAGTCTAACCAAGCTGTCACTTTGCCCAGGACAGATGTAGATCCAGTTGGCCCTGACCCCACATCACCCTTGCTTGGCTGTGCTCCCTGCGAGTCAGCAGGAATGGATCACTGCCACACAGGCTGCTGGGCAGGGGGAAGTGAGGCAGCTTAGTTTGCTTCACAGACTGTACTGACCTCCAGCTGCCACAGGTCACACCTGAGGACAAAAACACAGCCGTGGCCAAGTCACATAACAAAGGTCTCCCACCACATCTGGTGGTCTTCCTTCCAAGGCACAGCTGGGCAGCCCCTGCAGTCACCAGGAACATGCTGGAACGGTTGTTTCTGGCCAGGGTGTGCTGTCTCTCTCAAAGTAAATCCCTTTTGTCTTCCAGGGAAACGTTATTAAACACCATGGAGAGTCAGCTCCTGCGCTGCAGACTGCTAGAGCTGTTGTTCCAGCACAGTTGTGATGTGCCCTCAACCTCATCCATGTCTCTGGAGAAGATCCTGTATTTCCTGAGCCACTGCTCTGTGCAGCTGCATTTCGAGGTATCCAGTCTAACTTCTACTTTGCCTTGTTTTCTTCCGAGAAAACTTCTAATAATCAAATACTGCCTCCTGTCATAGGATGAAACAGCAACATGGCAAAGGTGGGATGAGATGCTGCAGTACTTGAGTTTGCTGCTGATGAGTTACCAAAGCGTAATACGGGGTAAGCAGCTTGTTCTGGCCTTAACAAACAATCTCATCAAGAGGCTGCAGTAGAACTGCCAAATTGCCCTTCCTCCTCTCTTCTCATCACTCTTGAGCTCACAACCACTAAGTCTTTGAAAGACAATGTGCCTCTATCCATGCTAGTAACTATTCCCAGCAGTCAAAGAAGTGATGTTGCATCCGTCAGGAGCACTCAACTTACTTTGCCAAGTTTAGCCCCTACAAAATAGCCTTATCCAGGGTGAACAAGCCAGGTGCCCTCAGTCACTCCTCGTGTGGCTTCCCTTGTAAACCCTTCCTCATCCTTCCAGCCTCCTTTGGATGCTCTCTTTGGTAAACCCAGGACACTTTCAGCACTTAGTAAACTGGGCAGGGAGCACCACCCACAGTAGCCATAGAAACAGCAGCATTTCTGATCCCAGGAGAAAGGCACAGTCACAAAACACTCCCTAAAGTAATTTTACTAGAAAATTCTTCAAGTCTCTTCTCAACTTCAGCTGTTTTAGCCCAGGGTTAAGGCTTTCATGAAAGAACACAGAGGAATCCACCATCATACGTGCAGTCTCACTCTCCCTGAAGCCCTAGACAATTAAGGTTACTGCTCTTGAGCTCCTTGGAGACTCCTTTGCAGCTGCCTTTCTGCCACTCACACAGGAGAAAAAGGTTCTACAAGCCTTGCCCCTTCCCCATTTCTTGCGCTCTCTCCACATGCAGACTGAGCTCCAGGAGGGGCCAGTTCCTCCTTCCCTCAGTCTTGTGCAGAAGCATGAGGGATAACCACAGGAGATCAGCACCATTCCCAACTGCTTCTCACTCCTGCACAGCGCTGCCTCTGGCACGCTGTGCTCAATCCCAACAGGTCAGGCAGCCCCTTGTGTGCTGCCTCTCCCCACCAGCATTTCCTCTTGCAGAGCACCTGCGGAGCTCCCTCAGTGACCGGATGGACTTGATAGTTCAGAAAGCCAAGCCCAGGCTCCAGGAGAGTGACAACATCACCAACCTGGACATTCAGCTGAAGATGGAGGACTTCATCAGCCGAATGCAGGAGGTCCTGGGGCAGCCTTTTCCTCCACAAATCCAGGAGAAATTGTTCCTGTTGCGAGATTTGTTCTTCATTGTTGCTACTGCGTGATGGAGACAACCACTGCCGTAAGGGGGACAAAGAACTTCAAGTTCCCCATAAAAAAACCCTCCAAACCCCCATCTCATGCTGCAGTTTCAATGTCATGGGGGTTGGTTTACAGAGTTCTTTGGAAAAATGGTTAGTTTACCAATGGTAAGAAATGGCCTCAGAATTTCTGTTCAAATTTACATCATTCTACAGTTTTATCAGGCACATTGTACACTTTAAAAAATAAATTATTTTTATATTTTATAATTGCTGAGAGTCTTTCATCTTGGTGCCAGCCCTGCCTAAAGGAAGTGCAGACCTCTGTCAGTCATACCTTGGGATAGCATTAGCCTTGTGCAGCCATAAACTCTGACAGTAGTTTACACAGCAAGCAAAATGCCCAAATATCTGGTCAATAATTAAGGGAAAGATTATAATCTTTAAAAAAAACCAACAGGTGTGAGGTACAGTGAGGACATTACTCATGGTGCAGAGATCCCCAAGACATGGTAGTCAGTCCTCAGTAGAGGAACATTTCTGCTCCAGTGCAAATCAATCTATATAACTTGGCCAAAAATTATTAGGAAGAGGGTGGGCTGGATGGCAGCATGAGCTGAAAAAACTTCTTCCAGAACCACTCTAGTGCAGGCATGGGCATTATGATCAGGATGAATATGGAATTCAAATCCACAGCCATCAACAAAAACCACAGGTGAGGTCAGAGAACAATTAGGTGTTTCTACAGAAGATCTCAGATCAGAAGCAACAGGGGTTGGGAGTGAAAGCTGCCCACCACACTTGGCAGGGTCCTAATGCGGAGACCAGAGTAGGAGCATCAAGAAGTAGTCACAGCTGGGAACACACTACTCCTGATATCAGTGGTCTCATACAGAAGCCTGGCTTCAGTTAGCCCAGAACTGTTCAGAAGAGTCTGACCTGCGGCTCACAAGTCTGCTTCTTGTTCTTTAGGAAACCTCTTTCCAACTGCCAGGTGTAAAACAAACTGCTCCTTCACATGACACTGCACCCCTAACCCAGGGATAAGTCAATCAGGGAAAAGTGAAGACTGCCAACAGTGCAAACAGCACACAGGCAACTATAGACAGTCTCAGGAACAAGAAGAATCTGAATAGCCCAAGAAAACACAAAGACTTCATGTCTAGTTTCATGTGCCCTAGGACAGAACTGAGCCTGGCTTTAAACCTGGCCTCCCTGTCAAAGGGGAGTTTGTGAGCAAACATTTCACCCTAGCGAGGTGCTGTCAGAGCCTTATTTGGCAGAACCTTGATCCCACACTTCTCCCACAGATGCTCTGCCACCACCAACACACACCATGGACCTCGGTTCACAAGGCTTTTATTTTCCTGTAACAAACAAAACAAACATACACATTAGGAGACATGAATACAGACAACAAATAAATTAATGTCAAATGAGAGCTTGATTGCCAAGGTGCAAATGAGTGGTGACAGTGAGAACTGCTGGGTTGGGTGGGGGACTTTCACACAACACATCACTGGCAGTGCTGTTGAAGCTTGAGAGAAAGCAGTGCCACAGAATGTGCTGCTTCAGAAGGGCCAGCAGCCAGCCCAGCCTCACCCTCTGGGAGGAATGTTTGGTTTAAGAAGGCAGAAACCCCAGAGCTCAACAGTTACCAGCTGTTAAGAAACCTCTGTGTAATATCCTGGCAAGAGAGATGCTTCCAGTTCCAGATGCAAGGCTGCTGCTGGCTGAGGGACTGTGCAACACAATCGTGAGATCAAGAGGAGACCTGAGGTGACCCACTTGCCACAGAACAGGTGAGGATTACAGAGCAATGCTGCCTATCATGCTTAAGGGATTAGATGGAAGCCAGGAGCTCCTTCCAGTTCCCATGGAAGCAAGTATTAGCTGTTCCCAGTAACTGGCTCTTCCCAGACCAAGAATTACATCCAGCTGTACCGTAACAGGGAAGAATGTTTAGCCTTAGTCTGCCCTCAGTCCTCCCTCAGCCCTGCAGAACACATTAATGCTGATAAAATATCTGAGAAGTGCTCCCGCTGTATAATACACTTCTACATGATTCTAGGAAGAAAAAAAAAACCAAAACAAAACCAAAACAAATCAAGCTGCACCCAGATTGCCAGAACACCTGGAATTTTGCTGTCTAGAAGGCAGGATAGTGTTGTCTTGCAGAAAGAAGAGAGGAGGATTACCTGGTTCAAGCAACGCTAGTCTCAATCACTTCCACTTTTTTAGAGGAACTCTTTTAGAAGAGTTGGAAGAGAAGGAATTCTTCCTCACTACTACTCCCTGCCTTTCCAATGAGAGCATCTTAGAAAGGTCATTGGTCCACTTTTCCATTAAAAAAGCATTCCAAGAACAAAGAAGAAATAGGTGCTGAACTGCATGGTCACACTGGACAGTAAGGGAATGGCACACTTAAACTGACCCACCAAAATCCCTAACTTCCTTCTGGCAGTCAATGGTCCAGTTTTCAGTCCTTGCTTGTTTCCATGATTTCCTGATGGAGCTCTGTATATGCCAGACAGAACCACCATCCTCCTGTGGGTCCTTCAGCAGTGAGGACAAGACAACCAGACTACAGGCAGACAAGCCAGGTGCTCACACACCACATGGATTCCTGTCCCAGAAAACGTGGCTCAGGGTTCCACTGCGGTGTGGTGTAGTGGGAAGCACATCCAGAGCAGCCTGGCAGCCCAAACCCGTGCACTACAGCAAACAGGATGGTTTACATTGGTTTAGGACTAGTGCAGGAGTTTTTTTCCAAGACTGGCTTTAGAAGAACAGTCACAACTGTTTCCTTTTCTGAGATGAAGAGCTGGAAGAGAGACTTTCCTATTTTACTGCAGCACATGGGACAGGGAAGCAGAGCCTAAGACACCCTGTATCCTGCTAAAACCACCAGATTTCCTCTAGAACCCAGTGGGAGTGAGCACATTCAGATCCCGAGGTTTGATATTGTGGGAACGTGGAGATTGTTTCCTCCCATCTGTGCCTGGAATGTCCATTTTGGGTGGCTTGAAGGTGACTGGATCATCTGGCATCCTGGTAGCCTGAGCACGCATCAGCTCCATTGGGGATGGCTTCTGGGCACCCTTATAGGACTGAATGGTAAATCCTCCTGATTAAAAAAAAATCACAGTAAGAGCCAGGAAAACCAGTCAAGTCCTTTTCCTATTGCTGCCAGGAGTGAGCAGCAGCACTGATGCCCCACACCACAGGAAGCCTGAAAATTCCAGCAGCTACAAGTCATCTAAAGCCTATTCCAAATCAATGGCTGGCTTCAATCAATGGCATCACAGAAAGTAATACTGTCACCTTCACACCCTGCCCTTTCACTGCAGTGCAGTGCAAGTTATTCCTGCTTCCAGATCCTCAGCACAGGTTTTACCCAACTGCTTTATATTTAGGCACAGAAATTATATAAATAGCAAACATTCCCAAGGTGGTCCCAGAAAGTAACAAGGCAAGCAGGATAAGACTCTAGAAAGAGCAAGCAAGTTTGTTGTGTGATGGTTCCCCTTTAGCTCTTCCAAGGCGGCAGATTTTTGAGCACATACCTGGATCAGTGGTGGATTTCTGGATGGCTTTGGGTCCAAAAAAGCTCCACCTGTCAGATGGCAACTTGTCCCCACCAGCTTCCATGGCAAAGTCTGAGCCAGTGATAGAAGAAGAGGATCCCTGACTAAACCAACCCCTAAGGTAAAAAAAAAAAACATTGAGATACATAAAACATGAGAATAAATACTTTCAAGTGATCTCACTGTACCAGGAACTTCCCACGCAGTGAACAGGGGCAATTTAAACAACTTTAATAGGTTTGTTACCACCCAGAGTAAGATATGCATGCTCCAGTTCCACAGGCTTCCAACATTTGGATCTATCCAACACATATCCTCATCAGGCTCTAAATTTCATCCCATACAGTCCCTCACTGGATAAGGTTATTCAGCAGCTCCCACCTCATCAGCCCACAGGAAACCAAAGGAGGCAGTGGCCTGCCAGAGTACCTGTTTTTATGCTTGGGAGAGGAGTGGGGGGTGCTGCTGGGAGTGGACTGAGCAGAAGAATTGTGTTTATCGTCTTTTGTCGTCTCTCCACTCTGCATTTTTAGCTTCTGTTAGGAAGAGAAACACAGAAACAACAGAGCTTAAACACAAGACATAAGGAACAATACCCAGTTTTATTGTCAAAACCAGACAATTGTTTCTATCACAGGTGATAAAGTGTCACTTTATGACCTAAAGTTACACCCAGTATTACAATACCTGCATACACCCCTTAAGCTTCTCTCCACATCAAATATAAGCATTTTGGAAGTTCACTATGGTAACAGCTCTAACTGCCACAGCACCCATTTGTCTCCAGCACTTTGCAGAGCAACAAAGCTTTCAGTCCCGCAAGTTCTCCAACCAGAGTGAGACCAGTTCTCACACAAGATAAAAGGTCAGGAGTACCAGACCCTGTAAATCAATCCATGTACACCAGGATGAAAACACTGCCCTGGAACAGACATGAACCTGGGCACAAAATAAACAGGAACTGCGTGTATGCAAACCAGGTTACTGCAAGCTGAACAGTACAAACTGAACTTTGAAGAAGTCACTTGAAGGGCAGTTATAGTTCAAACACAAAATGCACAGGCACCTGGTAATGTTTCCTGTGGCTATTCAAGCCACACTAATGCAATTCACCAATGCTGTTACTGAAACTTTGACCTCCCAGTGGGAGGACACTGGGAGAGTTGACTGTTAAATTCCAACTGCAAGATTTTTGATGAGCTCAGTTGCCCACAGTAACATGTTCATTCAAGACCTTTGTCTTTGTTTTCAGTACAAAGCAAAACCAATCCCATCTGGTAACTTCCCCATCGCAAATGCACAGTTTACAAGTTCTCTTGGGACAAACAGTTAGAGAATTCAACTGCAGGGCACCATTCAAAGGTACAGCAGGAAACAAGATTGCCTAGGGATGTCCCCACTTGGAAAGATGACTGTGGCGATTTCACGACAGAGAAGTGTGACAGAATTCAGGAAAATAAGAATAACTACAAAGGTTAATGCTAACTTTAAAATACAACTGGGCAACCTTTTGTACACAATGAGCTCAAAGCCTTCAGGGGAAGCAGCTTAAGGAGAGTCCAAGCAACAAGCTCCAGAAGCTATGTCACCAGATAGATGTTAAAGTAGCACATATCCTACATGGAGAAATCCAGTGGAAAACAAGCCTTACATGGACTGCCTCAGCCACCCGGTGGTA